TTTATCCCAGCACTCTGGAGGCAGAGGCAGGCGGATCTCTGTGAGTTCGAGGCCAGGCTGGACCGACAGCCTCCAAAACAATACAGAGAAACCCTGTCTCGTAAAACCAAAAAAAAAAAAAAAAAAAAAAAAAAAGAATGGGACTAGGTTGCTGGACAAACAGCGCATGTGTTGTGATGGATTGAGGTACAGACAGGTTGATCCCCATCCATCCCGCCTTGGAGATACTTATGGCATTTATGATTTGTTGCTGGGATATTTGGAGAGTGGGGTTCCCAGTGATGACAGTGTGTTGGGGACGTGTCTAGCTAGTTTAGAAAGTTCGTTGTGAGTCTCATTAAAAAATAATTCCATTTTAACTCCATTTGGTCTATGACGCTTTGACGGGGATGGGATGTCATTGGAAAACGACGGTGGCGATAGTGATGGTGTCCAGATACAGGAAACAAAACGATCTGGAATCATGGTCCTGCCCCGGTGGGACCCTTGTCCTTTAAGTCATCCCTCTACCACCCTGAGTGTATTGGCTTTTTGATGGCCTAATTGGTACAGGGAGACCTTTCTGGTGGAGTGGAGGAGGATTCTAGCTGGTGTTTCCAGAGGGCAGTGTGAATGATAAATACTGTTAATATTCAGAAGGAAGAATCGATTTAAAAAATGTGCCTTTGATTCACTAATCTCTGACATTGAGACATTTTTTTGAAGTCCATTGCTATAATTAGAATTCTATAAGCCATTTTATGCCTCTATCAAAATTTTAAGAGACATAGAAAATCTAAGTTTTTTTTCTTTCTGTCTGGCTTGACAATTCATCAAGTCAACATGAGCGGTCCTGCAGTAACTTCCGTGTAGGACCAGGGACTCACTCCGTTACAGCTCTGTCGGCAGCTTCCCGGTGCGGTCAAACAGGTCCCCGCCTGGATTTTAAGACCTGCAAGTGGATTGTTTTTGCCTTGTTTTGACTTGCTGTCTCCTGCAGAAATGTGGGGACTGAGTGACCAAGCAGGAGGGAGGAGTTGGGGAGGCTGGATCACTGGGGACCAGTGGAGGGACACCAACAGCTTCTGCTGGGCCCAGGTGAGTCATGGTGGAGCTCCCAGCTCCCAGATGGGTGACTGGTGGCATATGGCCCACAAGTCCTGTGTGAGAGCCCTTCCTTAGCCCTGGGGAAGGGAACAAGGTTTCAACAGATTAGTGAGAAAAGACGATAATCCCAAACCAATGCTTCATCTCGACACCCCCCCACCTCCTTCCTAAAGCAGAAGCTCTTCTCGCTTTAAAAAAATCAGTTTGCAGAGAAGGCTGACTGAGCCACAATTGAAAAGGGGGGCCTGTGTCACCACCGCCCTGTGACGATTAGCACGAAGACGGCTGCACTTTAGCCGGCCTGAAACTTGTTCCTAACAGAATGTTAAAGACTCAGTGAAAAGAGAGATTACGTCTATCTAGTTACACCATTCCTTGATATATGCTCCATGTCACAGCCTCATTGTCTCCTGGGTAAAGACAGAGAGTTCAAATACCCACTATCTCTCCCCTGGTGCTCCAAACGCTCGGCTTTGAAGTTTTTATAATCCATCTGTCATCTTCCAGCGAGGAGGGCACATGTTCTGTACCACTCAATTACAGAATTCTCCTTTGCCAGCTCCAGTGAGACAGGCAAGAATGTTATGGGTGGTTGAGAGAGACTGTCAGATACACTAAATTCCTGGGATTCATACGGCAGTGTTATTCCAGGGCAGGGACAGCCCGTCTTATTGTTCAAGTGCATTTGGCATTGGGCGACAGAGCCTTTGGTATTTTTTTTTCTTTCCTCCTCCTGTTTGAGAGAGTTGTCTTACATTTGATTGTTCACATTTGAAAAAAAAAAAGGATCATTTAACCCTCCACTGGAATGTGGACCCTCAAACGCAAATTGAAAAGATGGCATTTGTTTTTGCTAACAAGAAGCCGGTAGCCCAACTGTGCTGAGCTTGGGAAGTCGGGAATGCTTTTGTTTTCACTTTGATGAAATCGCCTTTTTTTTTTTCCAAACTTGGGCTCGTTAAGGATGGCAACTAGATGATTCAGCCTGAGCATCACGGGATGGATTTTATCATTCTGTGAACGGACATCCTGAGCAGCTATTAAGTGTTCTGCCATCTGCTGAGAGTGTAGAAAGTTAACATGGTCAGAACAGTCTTTAAAATGGGCAGTTGCATTTAGGGACAATCCACCTTGGGAGTGGCTGGTGTGGCTAAGGATCTTGGAGCTTCTCACTCATTGAGTCACGGGTGGTTAAATTCGTTGTCTTATGTGAAATGAGTTTGATGATCTCGGCTTAGCCTCTAGTGGGTATTAATTCACATTATGAAATATCCCAGAATAATTTAGCACCGTGTGGCATAATTTGCATTTTTACTCAAGATAGGGGCAATGGTGGATATATTCCTTTTTTCTCTTCTATGCGAAGAGGCCAACTCATGTTGGTGGCTTCCAGGGTGACGGTTTGTAGGGCTAACTGTTAATAATTTGTGGGGGAGCAGATGGCATAAGATCTTGGGGGTAGTGAAAATAAGACTTTGTGGCTTGGGCACTGAAGCCCATCAAGAACCATTTGCAGGGATGCAGTTGCAGTTGAGGTGAGCTGCGATTTCATAACTTTGCCCAGTGGTGATGCAGCCTGGATGCATGTGCCATTTCACAGACCCATATGTGACCCTAGAGAAACACGTGTCTGCATGGGGGCGGGGGAGGCGGACTCTGTGCACCCCAGAATTTGTAAAAAGAATGTCTTCCTTTTTCCAACCATGAAGGGTTCCCAGAAAGGCAAGATACTATTACAGTAATTAATTTAGTGAAACTTCTAAAATCTGATCTTCTGTTCAAACTAATAATGGGAGGATGGGGTGGCTCGATGTCGTTAATTGAAATCTGGAGACAATAAAAAAATGTCTTTTTGCAACTTCAATACAGCAGTCTGGAACTGTCGGGTCAGGCTGTGAACCAATTTTCTTCTCATTACTTTTGATTTTGGAGTCAATACAAATTTCATCAGTGATTGTAGGGTGCAGATCTCCGTCTGCAAGGACCCTGTCATGGGAGAATATGTGTGTGTGGCTGAAAGATTTACAGAAAGCTTTTCTGGAGAGGCTGGAGAAGGTAGAAGATGCTGAAACCCACACCTCCCTTGCCATGGCTTCTCACTCAGTGGTGACTAAGGGAACTGGATCTGGGAGGCTCAGAGCCTGACTGCCAGCCGGGGGCAGCTGGTGGCTGCCTCTGTCCTCCTTCCTTTTGGGAAATTTCTTCTTTGCTTCCTCTAAGCGTAAATTCCAACCCCCCCCCCCCGCCCAGTCCTGTTATATCCCTTCAACTTACAGATGTGAGCAGATTATTCCTGCAGCCCACAGAATATCAGTCCCCAAGGAAACTTAATTGTAGGGCATAGTCTCAACTTTCCAGGACCTGCTGACACATCCTGAGCAAAGAAGCCTTTTGTGTGGAAATGTGGACCCAGGGTATGTCATGTGACTCCTCATTTTGCCTATATGGGATTTGCATCTTTGCAAGTCATAGGATCAGTCCATCTATCATCAGATATTGGCCTAACTGGACATTTTTTACGAGCCCAGTTTGCTATTTATGTTAAAAGCAATTCGCAGCAATGCCCTGTCTTCGGGATTTGGTATTGGCAATAGCGACGTATGTTTAATCACATTTTCCATGAGTAATTATCTAATTCACATGATTACCAATATAAAACAGGCAAATGGAACAGAGGTTTAACCCCATCCTGCTTGGGAAGTGACACAGGCACACAGGGACCTGGACAATCAGAGCATTCGCAAGCTCTGTTTTGCCCCTGCCGTATTGTTGAGATTTTTATTAACAAGCTTTTCGAAGCTAGGCTTGAGGAAGAGAGAGGCTATTTGGAAGTCTGTGATAATGCAGTTTGAGGTTCACTCTGTCTGCGTTCTTTGCGTTCAGGGCTGTCCTTTTTGAAGATTTCCGGGAGACGGAGGTCACATTTTTTATTCATGTTGAAAAATATTCATTTATCAGTATTGGTGCAACTGTAAACAAGTGATAAACTGACAACATCTACAACAGTAAAACTGACAGCATTTACTTTAATTTTCTGTCATTTTGGTAATTATATCAATCAAGACCCAAAACTAAAATGATATTTTAGCATGCAGTAAGAAATGAGGAATTCAGATCTTAAAAGACCATTACAATTAGCTTTGAAATGTTCGCCATTTTACCATAATTGTTTCATATAGCTTATATGTCTTCATTTACAGCCGAATATTCTGTTGATCTTTTATAAACAAAGTAGCACCCATCTGCTCCTTGAGACACTCCTGGCGCCTATTCATTGCAAAAATAATACATGTCCTAATGACTTCCACATATTTTGAAATCTCCCTTTTGAAATTGGACTTGGCAGATCGTTTGCAGGTACTTGAGTTGCATCTGTTTGCAATTTTGCAAACGCGGAAGACTTTAATGTTGAGCACTGCAAGAGGGCTATTTTAATCCTCAGATAACACTGGCTGTCATCAAAAGCCACATTTATCTTTTCGAAGGTGGGGCAAATGTTTAATGTTAAAAGACAGCGAAAGGCCAAGGCCAAGTCCGAGGTCTGAATTACCCCCCTTCCCTATGCCATGCCTACTGCGGGCTGTCTCTTGGCTTTCCCTTTCTTTTTCAGATTTAAGTTTTAGCTTCACCCCTCGTTGCCAAGAGGATGTTTTTGCTGATAAAAATGAAAGACCAGGAAGAGAGTAAATCTGAAATCATTGTGAACTCCAGGGCTCATTACCACCATGTGGCTTGCAGCTGACCAGCTTGGGGTGGACTCCGCTTAGAGCAGGGAGCTAAACAGAGTGGTGCCGCAGGGTACCCGCCTTGAATGTAGGCGATGGCTGGCCTCCCAGGGCAGACTGCCGCTCTTGGGAGGGAGAAGAAGTCCTGCTAAGGCCAGGGTCTGGTCAGCTAGCTGGCAAGACCCATGGCTAAAGGGAGGGGCGCTTGGCCAAAGTGTCCGTGCGGATGGCTGCCTCTCTGTGTAAGCTCCGTAGCTCGAATCTGGAGTCAGCCAGTGTCTTTTCTCTCACTCTGTCTTCGAGGGGACGGCCCTGTCTTGAGTTTTTCTGAGACAAGAGTGACAGGCTGTCTCACTCCTTTCCGTATCCCTTCCCGATCCTGACTTGGATCTACTCACAGTGCTTCTCTTTGTTGGTCATCCGATGGCAAGGAGGTAGGCTCTTGGGGGTCATCAGATGACAAGGAGGTGGGCTCTTGGGGTCAGAAGGGGGCTAGCTATGGGAGGTCACCGGCAACCGGTAACAGAAGGGACTTTGAAAAAGAGAGCTAACTCTGTCTTCCCGATAAAGAAGATTGAACCTTGCTCTCATCAGATATGGCCCTGGAACCTGACGTTTACATAAGTGATGGGGGCCTTTCTGGAAAAAAAATGTATCTAATAATAAAGTGTATATTGTAGGGTTGTTTCACAGTTCATATATAGTTGGAAATACCTCTGGGATGGAAGAATCTACTAGAACCAGAGAGTGTCCTGGTTTTCTTAGTGGGTCAGCATTATTGGACACATGAATGGTTGATAAATGTCCATTTTTCTGATACTAGTGGTTGGTTAGATAGGTTCTATTCTAAATCTTCTTTTCATGACTGTTCTTGTGCAGTATGCAGTAAAGGCATCATAGGCTCCTGGGCTAAATATTTATTTTAATTTTTAATATCTTGAGAATTCAATATATGAGTACTATATTTACATCACCTCTATTCTCCTGCCTCTCTCCAACTCCTTCCATGTTCCCTGAAAATTCTCTCAAATTCATGACCTCGTCTTTAGTTATTCTCTCCCCCTCCCTCTCTCTCTCTCTCTCTCTCCCTCCCTCCCTCTCTCTCTCTCTCTCTCTCTCTCTCTCTCACACACACACACACACACACACACACATGTATGCGCACATGCACACATATTACTGAGACCATTTGGTCTTGTTCCTTTGTGTGTTTGTTTAGAGCCGATCACTCGGGATTGGAGAATCTATCGGGGGCTCATCCTTGGAGAACACGCTCAGTCTCCTCTCTCAGGAACCATGGATTGTGTGTAGCTCTTCACCTAAGGGGAGAGGGTTGTGAGATTTCCTCCATCCACATTGTCATGCCGGCTGGTACTGTCATTGTACTGGAGACCATATTGCTGAGATGTCATGGGTGCAGTTTCCCTGTCACAGGCAGAAGACACTCCCCCAGCGGTAGACACCCTGGTCCTCTGGATCTTACAGTCTTTCTACCCTGTCTTCTGAGGTGTCTCTTGAGCCTTGAGTGTAGGGACTGTGCTGTAGCTGTATCAACTGAGGGATGGACACCCCACAGTCAGCTGTTCTCTGCATTGTGACCAGTGGTGAATATCTGTAATGGTCTCCATCTGCCGTAAAAAGAAGGCTCTTTGATGAGGGGTGAAACTGTGTGACAGGGTCTAGGCCCGGAGCTGTTGGGTAAATCTAAGAGAAACTGGCAACAATTTAACTTCTCCTGTCTTGTTTTATTTGCATCTCTGGAGAGGGGAGGTGGTGATTTGCACAGAGTGGGAACTGGCATCCGATGTCTTTGCTTTTTTCTGCGTCATTTATATTCTGATGCTCTCATATATGGGTGATTACACTTTAAAGAGAAAAGACCTCACGCTCCTCAGATGATCGGAAATCTTCCATCCCCAGAGCAATACAGTGGGGGAGCAGAGAGTGGGTCTCTCCGTACAGCAACAGGGTCCTGAGGTGAACAGGAGCAACGGTTCTCCAAGTGTGAACCTGCTTAGACAGGTCAGAGGTCACCTGGCAACTGGTTAGAAATGCAAATTCTCATGCCCCTGCGGCCAGAAAGGCGGGGCCTCTGGTGATCTGGCCTGTGTGAGAACTAGCCTCCAGAGGTTCCTGATGCACACTCCAGGGTGAAGCTGGCGGCCTCAGAGCGCATAAAACGGGGGTGGCCTTTTCCCACTTATCACTTCATAGCAGGGCAGTGAAAAACGTAGAGGCGACGGATGTCTTAAATGAATTAATCTTCTGCATGCGCGAAATCTGGGGAGTTCCGCCTCTTGTGTTGCAACAGGTCAGCTGTGGAGTAGCCGATCTGTGACTTCTCGTGTGGGTGTGAAGCATCTATATATATAAATATATATATGTATATATTTATATATATATAAAATGCCTGTAGAGGCCAGAAGAGGGCATCAGATTTTTTTGGAGACTGGAGTTATAGACAGTTGTGAGTCATCATGTGGGTGCTAGGAATCGGATCTGGGTCCTCTGGAAGAGCAGCCAGAGCTCTTAACTGCTGAACCCCATGCTTTTTACAATGAGAATACCCTTGGCAAGGATTGATACATTTGGGGGTAAGTTTAAGATGGAATGGTAGGGAAATTCGTTGGCTACTCACTCTGTTGCTATTGAGAATCTTTCTTTGGTCTGAAAAAACCGATAAGGGTTTCTATTGCTGCGATGAAACAGTATGACCAAAAATCAAGTTGGGGAGGAAAGGGTTTATTTGGTTTACACTTCAGCATTGCAGTTCATCACTGAAGGAAGTCAGGACAGGAACTAAGCAGGGTAGGATCCCACATGCAGGAGCTGATGCGAGGCCAGGGAGGGGAGCTACTTACTGGCTTGCTTTCCATGACTTTCTCAGCCTGCTTTCTTATAGAACCCAGGACCACCAGCCCAGTGATGGCACCACCAACCACGGTTGAGGCCCTCCCCCACTGATCACTAAATGAGAAAATGCCTTACAGCTGGATCTCATCGAGGCATTTCCTCAAGTGAGGCTCCTTCCTCTCTGATGACTCTAGCTTGTGTCAAGATGACATACGAAACCACCCAGTATAGGGAGGAAAATGATAAGGGGAAGGGACAACTTTTTTTTTTTTTGAGGAAGTTATGGCTTGAGAATCAGCCGTGGCTACCACATTTGGGTCTCTGTTGAGTCACAAAGCCTAGACAGCTGGTGGCATGTCTGCAGTTCCCCTAGACTGTTCTAGGGACTCTGAGACTCTCTGCACAGACCATAGTGTCTACCTGTGTCCCAGGGGTACCAGTTGAGGCCTTTCCAAGCAAGGGTAGTGTTCTGTTGGGCCATTTTAGATGATACATGGGTTCTATGTTTTAAAAGCTGGGTATCTTAAGCCCTATTAGAGGAATATAGCTAACATATTATAGCTATGATTTCATACTTATTATTTCTCAAGGTGAGAGTAAGTTTTTAAAAAATGACTGGATTTAAGATTAATTTATACCAAAGTATTAAGCTCAGGTGGCCTAGAGACAATGGTGGGGAACTGAGACATGGGAATGCCACTCAGACCTCCTCATGGGGCTCCTGCCCCAGGAAGGCAAGGGAAGCCACCTGGGGTGAATGCTTTGTTGATGGGCATCCCACCCATCCTTCCAGGCTCATGCGGCTCACGGGCACACTTCTGTATCTTGTTGGCAAAGCAATTACTGGCACTGTGGGAGGTCCCCAGGCTCAAAGCTGGTGACAGAAACCCAGTTCACCCTCTTCTGAAATGTAGTTTGGTTTAGGTGGTGCTGGTGGGATTTCATAAAGGAAAATCAACACCAGTCCATGAGCAATAAATAAGAAGAGTCCGGATCTCTTCCTCGGCCTGAGGGAGCCAAGGAAAGGGGACCCAGCCTCAGCATCCTCTCTGCTCTCCTGTACACTTCCTGTTGGGATACAGGTTCTTGGAAGCAGGGAAGAGGCTGTCATAGAGTGGTCCCACCAAGCTTCCCCGAGGGATCAAAGTGACAGAAACCCTTTTGCTCAGTGGCATTGAGTTGACAGGCAGTCAAAGCATAGGGCTTGTGGCTGTCTCTGCAAGCCACCTAGAACGCTGTGTCTGGTACCTGGCTGCAGGCTGTGCTTGGTTTCAAGGATGTGGCTTGGGAGGAATGTGCTTCTGAGTTCGGTTACTTTGTGTGTCCGCAGTGACACTCTGCTCAAGGAAACAGCTTGGCCTGGGCCTGGAACTATTTTGCAGGGACCCGTGAAGCACCCCTACTTTCCAAGCTCTTTGCTGCTCAGAGAAACTTGTGTGCTTGGTGACTAAGGGCAGAGCAATAGTGGTAGGGGCTTCACCCTCAGAATAGATGTTCGGACTCTGCCGTGTCCACACTCAACCAACTCTTCTGCCCAGCTGGGTTTGTTTAGTCCAGTCTCTGGAACTTTCTAAAGAAGACTCCAAGGATGCAATTTTAAGTCTCCCATAAAACTAGCCCTGCCCCCAACAAAAATGCAAATGGGGGGATGACACCTAATCCCTAGAAATTACCTCTCAGAGACAGGTAGATATGCTGGGAGCCCAGTTGGTCAGTATGGGTTCTCAGGGACAGGCAAATTTGGAGATGGCTTCCGTATGGCAGAGAACCCTACAAGGGAGGACTTCCCAGGGGCCCTAGACAAAGCAAAGTAACGGGGGGGCTGAGAAGATGACCCAAGATTTCACAGTGTCTGACACATAATAAATGTTCAGTAAATATTAGTTATTTAACTGAATGGGGTCATAGTCCTGAACAATAGTGGGTACAGGAGCCAGACTAGTGATCTTGTATGGGGTTTCTGACTTGTCCTGGTGCTTGGGAACCTGGGGCCTTTGGTGATCTGATCCTCAGTGGCCTGATCTGTAGAATTGACACTGGTACCTACTAGAGGCAAGTTTTCAGAGTCTGGCTGCTACATAAAGATATAACACAATGACCATGAATGAGGATGTCTCCACCCTTCTGGATGATGACGTCTTTTCTGACCCAGTCCCCAGCTCAGCCCCATGACAGAAATACATTTGTGTGCATCAAGTTTCCAGCCACTCTTTTTGAAAGACGACAGGACCCGTGGCCGCCAGTCCGTGTGTGAATGCGCACGCATTTTCATGTGTTTATAGGTTGCAAATTAGACCTCATTTTCCCTTTGTTGTGTACCTCTGAGTAACTGAGCTTTCCCTCTGATTTCCTTCTGAGGCATCTTTTTCTAGAAACTCCTACGCTGAGATACACACCCACCCATTTACACACACACACACACACACACACACACACACACACACACACACTTTGGGTAGACCAAAAAAACTTCCTAAGAAAATAAGGCCCAGCCACTCAGTCATCTAGGAAAGAAGCTCTCAGCTTTTACTTCCAAGTTTGGCAGGCTGGTGGACTTGAAAGGTTAGCTATGAATAAGCAT